TACCTTGTTTAGCAGGTCAACGAATGGCTTGTCTCTGTGTCGTATCCCCCGCTCCCCTGCTTTTTTCCCCTCTCCGTTCTATGAAGTACCTATTCGCTGCGGCTTTAGTTTTTTCTTGGGCGGTCTTGTGCAGTTTCGCATCGGGGTGTGTGAGGATTCTTCAAAGTGTTCCGCTACCCTACGTGCCCTGGAGTGTTGTATAATCAACCCGCATATTTATTTTTGGCATCAGCGTAACTCGTGCAAACTTTCTTACATTTTAACTAATTTGTAGCAATGGGTAGTGTCTTGCGTACGACATGCAAAATCTCGCGTCCTCTAAAACCGCCTAATGGCGTTAGACGGTTTTGGCTTGTTGGCTGAGTTCAAAATCATCGGTCCAGTAATCGGGAGCGGGGAAAGTTAGCACCGGAAGTGCTGTCAAACATTGACTGTTCAAAGCAGTAACAAACCTTGCTTCCCAGGATCTGGCACGTATTTTGCGTGATATTTTTACGCCACTCGCTCTCTCTAGCACCATTTTTCGCGTTCCTGCGCCAAATTTTCTTGATGCGCTTGATGAGTGTCGTGAATAGCTGACAAAGAAATATACTTTCCCATCGTGTCAATCTTTCATCCTAAAATGAAAGCGAGTGTATTTCTCACTTACATCTTGATGATCAAGTGTAATTCAAAGCCTGGTGGTTCTCCATCTATGCAGCTGGCAACTTTTCTAGTTCTTCCGACCAGCGCTGCGTCATCTGTTGGTCAACGTGCTCGCAGTGCTGACGCTTGCTACATTCTGGCTGCATTTCTTACATTGTTCACTACTAAAAGTTCAAAAGCACACAAACATACACACGAAAACTGCACCTGTAAGGATAGAACAATCCAGGAATGCAAGTTCTGTCGCCTGTAGAGATCATTTGCCACTGACCGGTGCTGCAGTGCGGCACGCAGCGATAGCAGGATGTATTTTCTGGTTTGTCTATCCGCGATGCTGCTGCCAAAAAGTGATAGAAACAGCTTGATGCCATATCTGAAGCAAACAGCATGAGGCACCCACAGAAATCTGGGAAAGATATTTTGAGCTGACATGTGACGTTATAAGCCGTGACCGGCTGTTGATCAGCAATGCTCTGGGTATTACTTTCTCGCATGGCGCAATGATGTCTTGCACATCGCTCATCTGATGGAGAGTTCAGTTGCCAATTTGGCTAGGAAGAGACACTCCATATATTTATAGCTCCATTTTTCTCTACTTCACAGCCAGCGCTTGCTCTTCAACTTTCATCAGTGAACGATTCCGTACATCAAAGTACCAGTTCGTCATATGACAAAGTGAGAGATCTTTTCCTGCAGAAATGCAAGTTCAGGCTAACCTCTTCTGTAGAATGTTGTAGTCATTTGGTTCGATGAGTGAATCAGTGATGAGACGCAAGCACCAGTGGCGTTCGGTGTCGTGGAATTGCGTACTGCAACTCATCAGCAGCTTGTACATCTCCGGCACATTCTCCAAATCGACATCCGGCTTCAGAAGCAAAAACGATACCACCGGCTGATAAACTGGGTCCTCCGGATGCAGCAGCAGCTTCGTGACACGTGCAAAGAAATGTGCGACAACTGCAATTTCACAAGGTATTCAGATTACATGCCAAAATTTGGACCTTCAGCTATACTGTTAGTATAACTTGACCAATATTGCACTGCCCGTCAGCCACCCTGCTGGTGATGTTGACGTTTGTCCTACTTGCCTACTGTAGAGAAAAAGCGGCTGAACCAAACACATGGTTTCTCGATACTCATATTCGCTTTTCAGCTTCCAGATGAATTTGAAGTCGGCATTTTCAGTCCCAGATTTGAATTTTCAAACTGACAATCCTAGTCATTTTCATTTTTTGAGTTAAAAAACCAATAAAACTGCCCGAGGACGAGAAGTACACGATTAAATCAGTGATAGTAAAATGCGGTAGAATCAAAGGAGCATTACCGTGCGGTAGTCGTTGTAGCGCATTCTCGATGCTGTTTTTGAATAGTTGTAGTAAATATATATAAAGGCATTTTTCCGGGAATATCTCGGCGTTCACTTTCATCAGATGTGCCAGAAAGCGCTTCAGCACGAGGTAGGCAACGGAGCGCTCACTGGGACGCACAAAACTCGTGCCAGCAAATGCAAATGATAGCCCATTCACACTGATAAACTTACGACTGCTTACCTAAAATCAAAGTCATAAATCCACGCCAAAAACCCGCTCGAATTCACTGGCCATAAGAGGCGCAAGCACTGGGAAGTAGCAAGCCAACAGCAACCACCCTCTGGCAAGGTTATCGTTGTTGCTCTTTTTTAGAAGTTGCTTAAAAAAAGGTCGATTTGACCCCTGGCATATATCAGCACCAATTTACCATCGAAACAAATGAACGTTTCGTAAAACAACTGTACTGACAACTCAAAAATATGCGGGTGTGTCGATGAAGACTAGGAACTAGGAATCAAGGGAATATTAACTGAAATACCGAGATATGACGTTTCGGTCCTCTGTGTTGTGGACCTCTTAGCTAGGAGTTCTAACGGATCGTGTCCGTATAGTGGTTCCAACACTAATTTTGTGGGGAAACGGAAGACGGTCAGAATATTCGAAAATATAAAAAGCGAAGGCATTGAAAACAAGGCGGCAAACGAATTTTTGGCCCTAACCACGATGACAGCATTATCTGTTAGTGCGCCATGCTCGCTAGCACTGCTGTACTTATCACAGGACTAATATTAAAATTACAGAAAAAATTCATAAAACAAAATTTATACGAATTCAGCCTTCCTTTTGCTCATCTCCCACATAAGCTTATAAGCGACAGAAAATTCACATATGTAAATTACAAAACTGACCTTCCAGCCACTTTTTCGCGACTTTTTTGCTTCACCTCAGTTATATTTAATGAATGTATCTATTGGAATGGTGGAAGCGTACCTCGGTGTCTTTGTTTAGCAGTGAAGCAAGAAGGCG